GAGAGAGAGAGAGAGAGAGAGAGAGAGAGAGAGAGAGAGATTGATTTTGAGACAGTTGTTACTGTGTATCCCTGACTGTCCTGGAACTCAACTCTGTAGTCCAGAGTGGCCTTGAATTCAATCTGCCTGCCTCTGCCTCCCGAGTGCTGGGATTAAAGGCATGCGCCACCATCGCCTGGCAAGACAATTGTTAAATAGGAATTTATAGGGTAAATTTTAATTACCTTTCTAGATAGCAGAGATCTTTAAAGAAGAGGCTAAAAGATTAAAAAATGATCATAAAGAGATGGATTTTGGTTTGTGGAGCAGGAATGGGGCTTTAGGGTGAGGAAAACCAAACTAAATTTGGGCCCAGAATTTAAAGTAGGGTGTGGCTGGATAATGTACCTCAGAGGTTTACTTAGCGTATTTAAGACTGGGAGTTTAATCACAGTACAGAATGAGTGAGTAAGTAAATGGATATAAGTAGGGTAGATGGCAAGTATTTAAATTGGAAAAAGGACTAAGAATGAACACTGGGGACTGAAGAGATGGCTCAGTGATTAAGAACACTGACTGCTTTTCCAAAGGGGCTGGGTTAAATTCTTAGCACCCACATGGCAGCTCATAGTCATCTGTATCTCCAGGACCAGTGATCTCTTTCCCTTTTCAGGCCCAGGCACTACATGCACATGGTGTAGAAACATACACGCAGATGAAAGACCCATGTATATAAAAGTAAAAAATGATATTTTTTTTTTTAAGTAAGAGAATGAGTACTGCTTGGGTAGGTATTTCGTCATCACTATTATTTGATGACAAGGCTTTCTGTATCCTGAAGAAATAGACCAAAGGAAACTTGACAAGCTCCCATCATATCTGCACACCTGCTTGTACCTATTTAATCCTGCTACTTTGGAGGAACTGTCTGTCTTCCCATCTTCTCCTGTCCCATCCTATGGCTAAAGTGTGTCCCCTCCTGTCTCCTCAAAGACAGATTGCCTCAGTACTTCTCTTGAGGTGGCATCCACCATTAATCCCAGTACTCGGGAGGCAGAGGCAAACGGATCTCAAGAGTTCGAGACCAGCCTGGTCTACAGAATGAGTTCCAGGACAGCCAGGGCTACACAGAGAAACCCTGTCTCAAAAAACAAAACAAAGAAATTTTTCTAACCATTAAAATATTTTTATTGGTACACAAACCTGCTATAATTTGTTCCATATTAGTAACCACTCAATTTGCTGGGCAGCAGTAGCACACACTTTTAATAAACCCTGTCTCAGAAAACAAAACAACCAGCCACCTAAAGAACAACTCGGCTTACCTGACATACTCTTTCAGTTACTACTGAACTTGTTTGCTTCCATTTCAAACAAAATGCTGAGTTCCCTGTGCCTACTGCTCCTTCTCATGCTCTGTCTTGCTTATACGTTAACGATTTGCCTTGACCACTCTCGTGAAAATATTCTTCAAATTGGGTGTGGTGGTGCATGCTTGTTATCCAAGCACTAGGGAGGCTCTGGCAGGTGGACCGTGTGTCCCAGGCCAGCCTGGGCTACCTAGCAAGGCTGTCTCCCAAAAGAAATTCTTTTCAAAGTCACCAGTGGCTTCTACATTGCTAAATCCAATGGTCATTTTCAAACTTCATCCTAAGTATCAACTGAATTTAATAGAATTGATCCATCTTTTTTTTTTTAAGCGCCTTTTCAACTGGCTGTTGGGTCTTAGTGTCTTTCATTTTTACATCCATCTCCTGCTGTGTTTATATTGGGGCATCCCAGGATTCAGTCCTTGCCTTCTTTCCCATCTTTGCTTCCTCTTGCTCCTTTGAGCTTTCTTCTAGTCCTGTGACTTTAAATGTCTTCTACATATGGAGAACTTGAAGTTTATTTCCCTGGCTCCTGACCTCATCTCTAAACTCCAGATTTATAAATTTGGCTGCATCGGTGACATTTCTATATGGTTGGTTTCCCAAAGATTTGTTCTTTTTATACTCTCCCCACTATCAGTTAGTGACAGTCCCGCCCCAAACCTTGTAGAAATCGTTGACTCCTCTCTCCTTTCTCTCACCCTTTACCCCTCCATTAACAAATGATGCCAAATTCTGATACCTTCAGAACTGATCTGTAGTTCTCCTTATTTCCACTGCTTGGTGAGTTCCAAACTTTCTTTCTTGTGGGTTAGTTGTTACTTTTCTAAGTGTGCTCCCTATTTTGTTTTCTTGGAGACAGATATTTTGTAATATATGCTGGCCTTAAACTCTCTAGCCAAGAATGACCTTGAATTTCTGATCTTCCTGCCTCCACCTCTCAAGTGCTAGGATTACAGGTGTGCACTACTACACTTAGCTCTAAATGTAGCACATCTAAAGCCATTCTTTCCCTCCACCGCCTAAAAGACACAAGCGTACACACATGCCAATCCATTTAAAGCAAATTAACAATAAATGTTCCTTACTACACTCTTACCCATCGCAGTAAATGCCATCTCTGTCTAATTCATTTTCATCAAAAATTACGGAGATACTCTCCACTCTTTCTTATGTAAGCTATATATGGTCTTTATTGGTTTTACCCTTAAAATATACTCGGAGTACAACTGTTTTACAGTGCTTGTCCCATTACAGTAATGCTGGTCCCAGTCTCATTGTGTTTCACCTGAGTTACTACAGTCGCCTCCTCCTTGATTTGCTTGCTTCTGTATGTGTGCAGCTCGTACATCGTTCTTTTTTTTTTTTTTTTTTTTTTTTTGGTTTTTCGAGACAGAGTTTCTCTGTGTAGCTTTGCGCCTTTCCTGGGACTCACTTGGTAGCCCAGGCTGGCCTCGAACTCACAGAGATCCGCCTGGCTCTGCCTCCCGAGTGCTGGGATTAAAGGCGTGCGCCACCACCGCCCGGCTCGTACATCGTTCTTAACACAGTAGATAGAGCAGGCCATTCAAAATTAGCAAGGTCACCCATGCCACTCCTTTGTCTACTGATTTTACTCAGAAAGACTTGGAGTCCTTACAGTGGCATGCAAGACCCCACAGAATGTGATCCCAGTTATATCTGAGACTTCTGCCTCTTTTCTCCCTGCTTTCGCTCTGTCTGCTCAGCCACACTGACTTTGTTCTTTCTTGGACATTCCAAAGGTACTTTTGCTTCAAGGCCTTTTGATCTGCTGCCCTGGGCCTTCTTCATTTGATAATATCTGGCTTTCCACCTTCATCTTTGTTGAAATGTAGTTGACGCGCAGCCTCCCTAATGAGCTATTTAAAGTGCCCTCCTTCACCCATTGCTCAAATGCTCCATATTCTCTTTTTAAATGTTTCCTTCGTGGTACTTAGAGCTGTGTGACATACTATTTATTTTTTTCTTTCTATTGGATTATATACTTCTTAAAGGGACTTTTGGTTTTTTGTTTTGTTGTTAGTGGGGTTTTTGTTTGTTTTGTTTTTGTTGTTTGTTTTTTGGTGTTTTGAGACAGGGTTTTTCTGTATAACAGTCCTAGCTGTCCTGGAACTCACTTTGTAGACCAGGCTGGCCTCACAGATGCGCCTGCCTCTGCCTCTTGAGTGCTAGGGTTAAAGGTGTGCACCACCACCACCACCACCACCACCACCACCACCACCACCACCACCACCACCACCACCCACCCCCACCCAGCTGTTTGTATTTGTTAAGCTCTGTTATATATCTCCAATGTTATAGCTGTGTCTGATATTTAATGGGCTTTCTGTCAATATTTATTAAATGACTGAACAACTTGTCCTTTTGTTTCTTTGTTCGGTTTCATTGTTTTCAGTAGAATGCTCAACACAGAATAATTGCAAACGTTCAGCTGTGCATAAATGGAGCTAATACTTAAGTATAAGTGTTTTAAGTAACGTTTTAAACACAGCTCAGGTCCTACAAGCATCTGGACTCTGGGTCTGCATAGCAAAGCTGCCTACCTCTGGACCCTTAAGGATGACATAAGATTACCCTTGCCCAGTAGTCGGTATATTGGGGTTTCCATAGTTGAATGTGATCTGAGTTTCCTCAGAAAAGTCATTAGAACTCATTTTGCCTTGCTTCACATTCCCTTGTTACTGCTGTAATTTAGGGTAAATAATTTAATCTTTCTAGACAGTTATTCTGGATAAAATAAGAGGAGTATACAACATGATTCCAGCATAGCTCCAATACAGTATGCATGTGTTATGTTTTTACTTTTGACCAAACTCTTACATTTTGTAGTTCATTTGCTCTTCTTACTGAGTGTAGACTACTGGTAGGTCTGACTTGTCAAAGATAAGGGTGCAACAAGGTCTCTGTGCTGCCCACTGATCGTATCCGAGTGGATCAGGAAGGCAGAATAGAAGCTCTTAGAGTAAAGGCATGAATTCAGCCAGAGGGGAAAAAGCCCTGAGAGCTCAGCTTCAGCTCGGACCCAGAGACGGCCTTCGTTATCTGCCAGCAACCATGTCAAGAACTGAAACTCTGGTAGAGACAAGTTTA